GGGAGTTGAAGTCCACGAGTCATAAAAGAGCCAAGGTTGACTACCCCTGGTTTAGGATTTGCTCCTTGGCTTTCATGTGGCTTCACTTGTATCGCCTCCAAAGGTTAGTAGAAAGAGTTAAAAGTCTGGGAGAGAATCTCGGTGCCCTTGTTAATTTTGCGTTAGGAAAAGGAAGGCAGGAATATGAGCTTCAGTGTAGGATTGGTTTTTTTTAAAGAAAATTATAGTAGACATTTAGGGAGACGGAATAATACCTTGACTTTGCCATCTTCTGCTGGGCTGCTCTGTTTTATGACATGCTTCTCGCGGTCTTCTACAGACTACACAGCATCACACAGTCACAGAGGAACAACACATGCACAAACACATACATATATAAAAAGGGGGAAAAATGAAAAACCTTCCAGGTCAGCAGTTAAGTGGATACCTTGTTCTTCATTTATTTATTAAAGTTTTTTTTTATCCCGACTTTATTCCCTTGAGTTAGAGGTAACTCAAGGTGGCGAGCATATGTAATACTCCTTCCTCTTCCTATCTGCCCCACAACAACAACCTTGTGAAGTGGGTTGGGCTGAGATGGAGAGAGAGGGACCGTCCCAAAGTCATCCAGCTGGTTTTCATGTCCAAGGTGGGACTAGAATTCATGGTCTCCTGGTTCCTAGGCTAGCACCTCACCCATTACACGAAACTACAGTAGCTCTCTGACTTGGTGCTGTGCTAAAGTTTGAATGCGGTTGACATGCTGTTCTGCATAATATGTGTTCTTGATCACCCTGGCTTTTTTCTTTTAGGAGAAGGGGCGAAAATGGAGCGATTCTAAAAGCACTGCCAAGTAGAGGAATGCAAATTCATAGCATACAATAGGCAAAGCCGAGGAAAAGTATGGGCAAGTTTCATTCTAGCTGGATATTTTAATCTGCAGTCTTGCTGGGCCCAGTTTTCTTGTTTTGAGAATGGACTCCATGCAGGATGCAATACTGCCCATCCAACCAATGCTCAGCAGCATGGAAGATCACTCATCTGGATGGGGAAGGATGAGTTTAAGGCTATCCAGATGTTGCTGAATGGCATCCCTCATTACTGGTCAGGGTGACTAGGAAAATTGTGAGTAATTCAGGACACTTGTAGTTTCCCAGACTTTGCCCAATATATTTGCTCAACATGTGGGTACATCATACCCATCTATCTTCTCCTTCCTTTTCAATACAGGAAAAAAAAGAGAGGATAACATTGTTTAATCCAGTATCTCCCCTGACCATGTTTTACTCACAGCGTGGATTGCTAAGAAAGGAAGCTTCATTCTAAATAAGCTTAAGATTAATACCTTAGTTATTTCTGAAACTAAAAGGGTGTTGAGTGTCCATCGAACTGAATAAACTAAGCTAAAAAAAAGGAACACAGCATGTTCCTGTCCATAAAGTTGGGCTATTCAGGTACTGTCATTGTAAGCATTTATTATCTTTTATTTTAAAGAAAGTGTTAGGAGATCCTGTATATTAGGAGTTTTGGTATGATTCTAACTCAGTGAATTTTGCCAATATTTCTCCTCCTAACCATCTCGGCTCAGATACAGTACCTACCACCAATAAGTCTTACAAAAGGGATTTCTATTAAGACAGATCTTAATAAATGCTTACAATGACAATTCCCCTATTATCTTTAATCCAACAAAGCCATTTAAACTCATCATTTGCAACAGAAGGAACAGAGCAAAACCATGACAAAACTTTCTGAAGATTGCTGGAATACTTTTTTTAAAAAAATAAATAAATTATAGGATGTCAGTGCCAAGTAGAGATCCTCAGATATTGAAATCCAGGGAGAATAAATGCTTTTAATGGAAAATATGCTCAAGCCCATTTCCTCTTTTATAATCTAACAAGGAAGACCCAGGATACGGCTGCATTATGTCCCAAAATATAATGGAACGTATGGCCGAAACAAAATGTAAATGAGTAGAAATTGATATAAATAAGAGTAACACAAAACATCGCTGGAAAAACAGAACTTAACACTTGGATTTCTTTCACTAACCTCACTTTGCTTTCTCTTCTTGGTGAATGTGTATCGAATGAAAATATCCTGCAATAATTCTTGTTTCACCAGAAAATGCCACAATCTCTTAGCTGGCAATGCTGAATAATCTTTTGATCTGTGAGTTGGTGGGAAGAAGGGAAAGTATTTTATTTCTTTAATCAGGTCAAGAACAGATGGAATCAGAAAAAAAAAATCACTGTTACAAACAGTCACAAATTCTTAAAATGGATTGTCTTGTATTTATTTTTTTCCTGTAAAAAACACCGTTTCCTCTTTGGAAATGTCTCTTCTAAGAAGCTGTCATCTGCTGCTAAGCGTGACATTAATTCCCTGGAAATAATTAGGCCTCAAACTCAGAATCCTGGCTGCACAAGATCAAGAAGGTTGCTATTTTCAAAAACGATCAAAGCTGGCAAGTACATTCTAAGCATTCCCAGAACAGAATTGGCTATTAGAGTTTCCAGTGACTTTAATGAGCTGTATTCATTAAATAATGTCTTTGCATCTGCTAGAGAAAGAATTAAGTTAGTGCAAGTTGAGTGTTAAAGTGTTATGGACAACCAAGAGCAATGTCTCCCCATCTGGCACCCTCCTAATGAGACCCCCGTGCTTCTCACAGAAGGGTCAAAAGTCATGCTAACTGACCACAGTGATCTAAGACTATGATCATTGGAGTTCTAGAAGCTCACAAAGGTGCTTTCCCAAAAGGCAACTGGACTTTCTTGGTTTTTCCTCTTGGAAAATGTTTTGCTTCTCATCCAAGAAGTTTCTGTAGTCCTCTGAAGAACTGAAGCTGAAGTGAAGCAATGGATGAGAAGCAAAACAGTTGGAGCAGTTCCAAGCAGGATCCACTCCAGACCCAATTATTTCCAGTGAATTGATGACCCTGACGACACAGATAAACCTCAACAACTCTCTGAAAGAATGCAAATGACCAACGGTCTGCAAGGAGTATAAATCCTTCCATTCCCCACCATCCAGCCAGAGCTGAAGAAGCTTCTTGGATGCGAAGTGAAACGCCTTCAGAGAAAAACAAGAAAGTCCAGTTGCCTCGTGAAAAAGCACCTTTGGGATAACTATAATCTGGATGACTGAGAATCTCCATAGAAGATTTTAGTTGCCTTTTTGGAAAAGCACCTTTGGGACAACCATGACCTTAGATGATTAAGACTCTCCACAGACATTCCAGAAGCTCCAGTTATTCTAATACATCTGGAGAAGAATGTTTGGAGGCCATGGATTCCCATCAAAGCTTAGAACAGATTTCTCCCATAAGTCCCTTCCAGTTGTGCTGAGAAAATGGCCATAGCCAGTTTGGCTAGGAAATCTGGAACTTGGTAGCCTTGTCACATCTGGAAGACCAACTTCAGATGTCCCCTCCTCCTCTGAAATAAAGCATTTCTTACTTAAATGGTGTGTTTTCAGGATCAACCATTGCTTTGATTCGGGCCGCAGCTGCTCCGGCTCCTATCCCCAGTTCGTGAAAACAAGTATTGATGTAATCTGGTGGGGGACCTTCAAAGCGGTCCATTCTTTCTTGCAGGATCTGTTCCCAATTCTCCAGATTTTTAATCACAGCGGTACCCAGAGGTGATGTGACGGGAAGCTCTGAAACGTGAACATGTTTGTGGTTTGTTTCTCCCAAATAAAACACAAGCACATTTCTGGATACCTCATTTTTGAAGAAGTTTCAAATTCTGCCAACATCTCTGCCTCGCTTTATTTATTTAAGACATTTATACAGCCGCCCATCTTACAGTGAACGTCTTTTCTGTTATTTTGCATTTGTTCTACTTTGCAGTTTCATTTGGTCTTCAGAAGGGCCTTGGGGACGAATATGATTTGTGACGAGAAGAAGTAGACACATTCCATTGAATTCATTATTTTTAATTTCTCGGGTTGAAAAATATAGAGCAAGCGCATCTGATCATCGAAAGCATAATGCAACTCACCAGTTAGTTCTAAGCCGGTAATGGGGAAAAAGTTCTTAATATTGTTCAGAGCAAGTTTGATCATTGCCAAATGGATAAGAGCCCAGCTGCAGAAAAGAAGAAATTTTAATTTTTTATGCAGTGAGGGAGAAGAAAAATTAGATATATGCTGCGTTCAACTTTTATCATCCAACCATATTTAAAAAAAAATAATAAGAGGGAAGGAATATGTTGAATGTATTGAATATTAATGTTAGATTATGGCTACTCAAAGGTTGTGCCTTATTTTTGGATGTCCCATCTTTTACAAGCTAATTCAAGTCGTAACTCTATATACTAGGCTTTTCCAAAGTTGTATGATGTATGGACTTCAATTCCCAGAATTCTAGTGTGGCCATTGCTGAGAATTCTGGGAGTTAGTTCCTATTTTTGGAGGGTCCCCAGGATAGGGAACATTAGTGCACCTGTTATTTGGAAAGGGGGTCCCACTTCATTTACTTAAATAATTGCAATCCACTCCCTATTTAGCTGGTAGACTTTCTCCTAAGTGAATATACATTGAATTCACATGTACAATATACAATTTGGTGTTTGTATATAATGCCAACTTTCATAGAAGGATCAAAAAGATATGTTCAATTCACTGTATCTTAACTAAAAATCTAGGTTTTTTTTAAAAAATCATTCTCCACAACTTTGAGGACTGATCATAAGTCTCCTTATTCAACGCTATTATAACTCTGAATGGTAGTTGATAAGCAAGGACTACTTGTACTTGAACTTTCCAACTCCACCCACAAAACTTCAAACAAAATTGCTAGGTGATTCAACTTTGGGACACCTCCCACATTTCCGGGAAAGCCAGTGAAACATGGAATAGTTTGGCTTGGGAAATATTTATGTTTATTCATTTCTTCCTTCCTACCAGAAGTTCACTATAAGGACAACAGATATCCACAACACAAAGGTTGAGGATAGTGGTTCTGTTCTGTTGTGTTGTCACCCGATCTTACTGTTCCCAGTTCCGTTGTGTTTTCACCTAATCTTACTGTTCCCAGTTCCGTTGTGTTGTCACCCGATCTTACTGTTTCCAGTTCCGTTGTGTTGTCACCGCTAGAACCACAAGTGCATGTATTGTTTATAGCAGGAGAAAAACAGAAGGCTTCGGGTGGGCTTCTGAATGTTCCAGCTTGGTGGTTTGCTACCTGTATGAATTGGCATCCTTGTGCTCCTGAATCTGCATATCTGAGAGAAAAGCATCCTCATCGTCATCCTCACTATGGATGCTTTCATCAGAATCGTACATCACCCCACTGTCTGAAAAAGGAAGGAAGGGCTGTAAAGAAAGGACAAAGAGAGGCTTCAAAATTTGCTCTTCCAGATCTCATTCACACAAATGAAGCTGCTTCATTTCAGAGACACAGGAGGACTTCAGATGTCATGAAAAATGCCCTAATGGGTAGAGCTACTCAACACTGGAGGAGGTAACCTGGGAGATCATGGGGCTGGATGACCATCAGGGATGGTGATCATCATAATTCCTATATAAAGAAGGGGTTAGATCAGACAGGTCAAACTCGCGACGTCATGTGACGTCGTGCGACGTATCGGGACTGTTTTGCCTTTGCCGGCAATGGGGTGGGTGCGGCTTCTGCGTGATGTGTCCGGCCCATGGGCCGGCAGTTTGACACCCCTGGGTTAGATGATCTCAGGTTACTTCTAACTCTTTACCTTTTAGGATTCTATGAAAAGGATCAGAAGGGAAATGGATTGGTTTCCCTGATTCACAGAAGTGAATTAGGCCTACTTCTTAGAAAGAGTGCAGAGAAGAGCAACAAAGATGATTAGGGGACTGGAGGCTAAAACATATGAAGAACGGTTGCAGGAACTGGGTATGTCTAGTTTAATGAAGAGAAGGACAAGGGCTGACATGATAGCAGTGTTCCAATATCTCAGGGGCTGCCACAAAGAAGAGGGAGACAAGCTATTCTCCAAGGCGCCTGAAGGCAGGACAAGAAGCAATGGATGGAAACCAAGGAGAGAACCAACCTAGAGCTAAGGAGAAATTTCTTGACTTAGAACAATTAACCAGTGGAACAACCTGCCTCCAGAAGTTGTAGGTGCCCCATTACTGGAGGTTTTTATGAAGGAACTGGACAGCCATTTGTCTGAAATGCTATAGGCTTTTTCTGCTTAAGCAGGGGGTTGGACTAGAAGACCTCCAAGGTCCCTTCCAACTCTGTTACTCTGATGTTCATGGGGAGCTTACCTTAGCCACAAAATAGTCTAACATGCTGAGTTCCGGGGGGATGAATTTTTCTTTGTAAGAAGGTCTTTCCGCAGGGACCGGGGGAGGGACCACACTCTCCTTCACGGGTCTTCCAGGCACCAGCATTCTCATGTTGAATCTCCTGCGATGCTTATCTGTTTCTTCTGAAGGGACTGGGGGGGCTAAGCAGAGAAAGAGTTTAAAGAAATACATCGCCAAACGATGAGACAAATTGGTATGTTTATCATTGATTGGAATGCCAATCAAGTTGTAGAACTGCAAATACAGGAAGATCACATGGAAACTACACTTACAATATTTTTTTTTAAATAAACAGGTCCTGGTAATTTTCAGGAAGAGCCTATGAAATGGAATGAGGTCCACCAGTTTTCTTGAAATTGTGGGCATTCTTGCAATATAATGGCTTGAGAATAATCAATACTTGTTCACTGTCAACCACACGACATGGAATCTTTTCAGAAGAATTAACTAGACAGTGCTGAAGATTACTCTGATTTTACTGCAAACATGCTCAAATTTCAAAAACACAGCTCTATCTACATTGGATCTACCAATCTAATACAAACTACCAGCAACAGTCGATAAATACGCTTCTCTGAGGTTGATCAAATGTTGTCAAATCTCAATCAAAACAGGCTTAAAAAACGTTCAGCAAGAAAAGTTAAAAAAAAAAAATAGCAGAAGGGGTTTCCTCCCGATTAATTCTAAGTGTAAAATATTCTTATTCTGAAGTTTGATTTTTTTTTTCCTCCTCCCTTTTAAAATAGAACTGTAGATATGAGCAGGGCAGGTTGAAATATTGGTTAATCAAAATAAAGATTCAATAGGTTCTCTCCTAGGGGAATCTCTTGTAAAGCTCAGTGGTAAAATAGTTTGAAATGTCAAGAGGAAAAACACTGCATGATTTTAAAGGTCTGTTCTTAAATGTGATGAAGTGGCTGATTTAATGCCAAATTATCCTCATATGTATCGTAGAATCTTATTTCTTGCTGAGATTGTATAGGCTTCTGGCCTTCTATAAGCCAAGAAATTTTGTATAAGATATTGGAGATGGAAACAAATCGCAGTTTTATCCCCACATTGTTTGTAAGGCTGCTCTTTGCTGCACATGACATTTGACAACATTTGACTACATTATAAACTGACTAAAACTTGACTGAACAAGTTTCATTCCTCACACAAGTTGGATCAGATTACACAGCAAAGCCTCACAGACCTTCCTTAGTGTCTTGTGTATCACCAGAAACTGGAATGGGTACTGGATTTAAAGAAATGTTAGAAGTGAAAAACAGAACAAAACAAACATTGTGGAAATCAAAAGAAAAAGAAGCAGGGAAATTTAACTTAGAAACTAGTTTTTAAAACACTGTTTCAGAAAGATGGAATACCCATAACCCTTGTCATCAGAAAGCAAGCTCTAATCACATGTCAGGATTTGCCAACCCATTCTAATCCTAATTCTAATCTCCATTTTAACTTTGAAGGAAAGAAAAATCCAGATGACACGACACCGCTATTGATTCTTACAAGAGAAAGCGTAGAAAAATAACACACAGTCTCTATTACGGTTCATAAAAATCTCCAGTTATGAAAAAGAAGAGAGAACAACAGATCAAGCAGAACAAGGTGACACATCTCAAAAAAAAAAAAAAGGGGGGGGGAAAGATTAAAATCCATGCAACAGATCCAGGACTGGACCTGTTTTCAGAAGAGTATGAACCACATGCCCACTACCACACATATTCCTCACCATCCAGAGGGCCACTATCACAGCCAGCAATGCTTTGGTTGATGCCCGATAGAGCAGTGTGGTGGGGCAACTGTGAATTGCCGAAGGATGTCATGGTTCCTGTGTTGGTGGATAAGTGCTGTGGTTTATCTGAATCGAACAGATTAGAAGTTGAGTGATTGTCACAGTCTGCGGGCTGGACCGGTGTACTGTATGTTTGCATTGTGATAATGGGCAGAAAACAGGAGTGTTCGGTAAAAACTCAAGCTCCGTCTTCCTCCCAAGTAAATAAACCACCAACTTTCTCTAAATGTAAGAAAAGCA